CCCCCGGGGGGGCCCCCGGCCCCCAAACCCCCCCGGGTGTGTGGGGGGGGGGGGGTGACAGTACCACCGACACCCCCCTTCCCCCCCCCACCCCCCAACCCTGGGCAGAGCTGTGGGACCAGCCCCAGCCAACACCCCGGGGTGACATGAAGGGACGTAAAAGTGATTTTTCCAGGGAATTTTGGTCCCCCCGGGTGTTTCAGCCAGGGCTGTGGTGGCAGACGGTGACGGCACCGGCAGCCGGGGTGACACTGGGGTGACACTGGGGTGACACCGGGTGACACCGGGGGTGACACCGGCACAGACAGCCCAAAACAAACACCTTCCCGGGACAGGGATGGCTCCAGCAGCCAAGATTTAACAGGGAAGGGGAAAATCCCCAAAAAACCCAGCCCAGTTCCGTAAACAAGTGGAGTTTGTGATTCCCTGGGCTCCCGTGGGGATTCTCTGCTGTCTTGTATGAGGGTTGAGCTCATCCTCTTAAAGTTACTCAACCCCTAAGGAGGGGGAGGGAGGAGTTGAGGGGGGGTTTGTCGGGAAAACTGGGTGTAAAACCCCAGCTTCCAGCCAAACTGGGAAGCCCCCGTGGTCGGGGGGGACCCTACCTGTGGCAAAGCCACCCAGCGGGTGCTCCCAGCCGCCCTGCGCCTCCTCCAGCATCCGCTGGGTCATCTGGAAGAAGGGCTGGAAGAGGTGGTGGAAGCCGTGGTAGGGATGCTGGAAGAAAGGATGCAGATCCCGGGAAAGCCTCCCCCCGCGCTGGGAAAGGCGGACGTGCTGGACGGGGGGGCGGAAAACCTCACGGAACCCGCCCAAGGGGGGGCGGAAGAAGGGGTAGAGGCGGCCGTAGACTTGGGTGCTGTCCTGGAAGATGTCGTCCACCCCGTCCTCCAGCAAACCGAAACGTTCCTCCAGGTCCTCAAACTGTCTCTCCTGCCGCTGGTCCCGCTCCAGCAGGGAGTCGATGCGCTCCCCGTTCACCCAGATGGAGAAGGGCGAGGAATGGTTGAGGAACTCCTCCAGCTGGGGGGCAGGAGAAGGCACAGATCAGAGAACCACAGACTGGTTTGGGTGGGAAGGGCCCTTAAAGCCCCCCCAGTTCCATCCAGGGACACCTCCCACCACACCAGGTTGCTCCAAGCCCCCTCCAACCTGCCCTTCAACCCCTCCAGGGATGGGGCAGCCACAGCTTCTCGGGCCAACCTGGGCCAGGCTCTCACCACCCTCCCACCAAACAAGTTCTTCCCCACAGCTCAGCTCCATCTCCCCTCTTGCAGTGTCCAACCCTTCCCCCTCCTCCTAGGGCTCCCCTCCCTCAGCCAGAGTCCCTCCCCATCTCTCCTGGAGCCCCCCTTCTTGAGGGACTGGCAGGGGCTCCAAGGTCTCCCCGGAGCCTTCTCTTCTCCAGGCTGAACCCCCCAACTCTCTCAGCCCCCCCTCCCAGCAGAGGGGCTGCTCCCACCCAGGGGCAGGACCCCGCACTTGGCCAGGTTGAACTTCATGAGGTGGCCATGGGGCCACGTCTCCAGATCCCTCTGGATACCCCCCCTTCCCTCCAGCTTTCCTGGAGCCCCTCTTCTTTAGGGACTGGCAGGGGCTCCAAGGTCTCCCCGGAGCCTTCTCTTCTCCAGGCTGAACCCCCCAACTCTCTCAGCCCCCCCTCCCAGCAGAGGGGCTGCTCCCACCCAGGGGCAGGACCCCGCACTTGGCCAGGTTGAACTTCATGAGGTGGCCATGGGGCCACGTCTCCAGATCCCTCTGGATACCCCCCCTTCCCTCCAGCTTTCCTGGAGCCCCTCTTCTTTAGGGACTGGCAGGGGCTCCAAGGTCTCTCTGGAGACCAGGGAAGGGGAACACACAGCCCTGGGTGGTTTGTGGAGCCACAGACATTGTGACACCCTCTTGCACCCAGGTTTTTTTGGCTTCATCATCCTGGCCCTGCTGGTTGAACTTCATGAGTTGGCCACGGGGCCACCTCCCCAGGTCCCTCTGGATGCCCCCCCTTCCCTCCAGCGTGTCACCAGCTCGGTGTCACCAAGCAAACCCACCGAGGATGCCCCCCGTTTCCCTTTCCCTGCCTTTTTTTGGCTTCATCATCCTGGCCCTGCTGGTTGAACTTCATGAGTTGGCCACGGGGCCACCTCCCCAGGTCCCTCTGGATGCCCCCCCTTCCCTCCAGCGTGTCACCAGCTCGGTGTCACCAAGCAAACCCACCGAGGATGCCCCCCGTTTCCCTTTCCCTGCCTCACCAGGAGCTTTTGGGGGGATGGATGGATGGACAGGGGGGACCCACTCACCTGCCGGCCCACGAGCCCGGAGCCGCTGTGGCAGGTCCGGGAGTAGAAGCGCATGCAGGTGTGTTTGAGGCAGGGCTTGCACTCCTCCCAGAGGGCCAGCATGGTCTCGTTGCACACCTCCTGGGTGGCCTCCAGCTCCTGCTCCTTCTCCCTCGCCAGCCGCACCGCCTCCTGCAAGGTCCCCCCCAGAGACATCCCACCACCGCATCCCGGGGTGGGGGACACGCACCAACCCCCTCCTCCCCCTTCCACCAAACCCACCCCTCCTCATCCTCACCCCACCTCCTTCTTCCTCTTGGTCTCCTCCAGCGTCTGCAGGATGGCCTGGTGCTCCTTGCTGCTTTTGTCCATGAGGGTCTTCATCTGCTTCACCCCGTTGATGGCGTTTTCCACCTCCGTGTCGATGTATTTGCTGCCGGCGGCCGACATCTCTGGGGG